CCCCGCACACCTTCCACTCCACCCTGACTAGTTACCGTCACGGCTGCCCCGCACACCTTCCACTCCACCCTGACTAGTTACCGTCGTTGCTGCCCCCGGACACCTTCCACTCCACCTTGACTATTTACTGCTGCCCCCGGACACCTTCCACTCCACCCTGACTGCCTACTGCTGCCCCCGGACACCTTCCACTCCCTCACAGACTACCGTCGCTGCCCCCACACACCTTCCACTCCACACAGACTACAGCTGCCGTTCCCACACACCTTCCACTCCACACAGACTACAGCTGCCGTTCCCACGCACCTTTCACTCCGTCGCCGCCATTAAGATATGGTTGACGGTTCTGCTTAGGCCTCGCGTAGCGTTCTGAAGATGACGCAGGGGCGGATCCAGGATTTTTGAAAAGGGGGTGTCCAGGAAGAAATAAAGGGCACCTTTTCCTACTTAATTTTTTGGGTGTTTTAATAAGCTGCCTTAGGCAGCTTATGCGACGTGCCGAAAGCGCATCGCCACTTAGGGGGGAGGGGACCTCCCCCAACAAATCTTTAAAAAATTGGTGCATTCTGAGAGCATCTGAGCAGTAATTTTGATGTCTAGAATGCAAGATTGAATTACAAATTTTTAGCAGAAAATTATCTTTTAATTTTTTAGCGCACTGAAATTAAAGCGGGGTCCGGACCCCCCGGACACCCCCTCCCCCAAGTCCGCCCCCGTGATGACCCTGTACGTGCCACTCAATGCACATCGACCGAAATATGAGAACATTGATCAGGATTACATAAAGAGAGATTCTTATCGGTGAATATTGTCTTCAAATGTGGGTCTTTCATGTTTTGAGCTAACTCCAAGAAACGGTCATACATTGAAAGGCGCGTAGTATTGACGTACGTTGGACTAGAGCCACCTGATCATGCGCGGATTCGTGTAGTTCATGCGCAGCCGGTGCGCGCCCAACTATTTTTTGGCAAGCCAAATTTTCTTTTGCTTTCTAATGCTGTGGCGTGACTCGTCCAAGTCAGTTTCTGCTGTTGGATACATAAGAGATTCCATCAACTAGGATTCATTAAAAATATTATTTTCTGGGTGGAGGTTCCCGGACCAGACGCCACGAGCTTCGCAACCTCGTTGCTCGCAAGGTGCCCCGCCTTTCTTCAAATCCTGGATCACTGCTGGTCGGGCTAGTTTCGATCAAGCGTGTCATATCAGGGCCTCAGCGTACAGGGGTGCATGGAAGGTAGCCGCCCCCTAGATTTTCCAGTTTATATAACCCAGGGGCGGATCTAGCTTTCAGGAGCCGGGGGTGATATTTGAGTAAAGGCGTGCCGAAGGCAAGCGGTACTAGGGTGGTCTACTGGCATACTCCCCTCCCACCTAGAAAATTCAGACAGCTGTGACTATCACAGAGGAGATCCGCCACTGGAACCATGCATGCTTTCCTTTCCGCTGTGCACAGGGCTATATAGCCTCTGGGTGGGAAATGGGGACAGCTGTCCACTCTAAAGGTTCTGGAGCGAAATAATAAATAAGCTTAGGCCTATACGTGTGTAATATTTTAATATTTGTAAGTAGCACCAAAAATAAATATAATGAATGATGGAACAATGTTATAATTAATAAAAAAACAAGTGTATATTACAAAAACACAATTACCCATTCAGCCTAACCTATTTTATATTTGATTCTTGACAATTTTGCACCCCCAAGGATTTTGCACAGCCCTTCATCTACTCCTCTCTATGCTCTCTAGCTATGCCTATATGATGTAGTGTGAGGTAGGATACCTATGAAATGAAGAAGGAGAGCGGATTCATCTAATCACGATTCAGGGGCGGATAATGACAAATATAGGGGTGAATAACTACAAATTTGTCATTATTCACCCCTGGGGCCGGTGTCACGAAGCCTAATTAAGTTAATTTTAATTACGCTTCGTACGTGAAACCACTGGCAGCAAGAACAAGTCCGCACCAGCTACAGCACACATGCGGCCATTGACTATATATATACTACAATATATATCAGTGAAAAAATTAATTTTTTTCTTTCCGGGGCTCTTTTTGCAAACCCCCCCAAAATTTCGGGGGCTACTTTTTCATTTTCCAGGG